CGGGTGATGAGTGACCTTCCCTACGGTGAGAAACCTTACACAAAGGGCATCCGAGTGAGGACCCTGCTGAGGACTCAGGTGAGAAACCCTACACAAAGGGCATCCGAGTGAGGACCCTGCTGAGGACTCAGGGCCTGGTGTTGTTAGGCAGGGACCTTGAGCAAGAGCCTCAGTTTTCCTGAAAAATGAGGATGGTGATGCCCACCACCTGTGTGACCCTGGTAGGATCCAATGAGATGGGGCAAGTTAAGGGCTTGGCATAGGGCCTGGCATCCAGGAAGAGTGAAATTAATGCATTTTTTTCCTCCTTTTTCCCTTCCAGCAGAAGCCCCCATGATTACTCATCCCTTGTTCTGAAAACTAAAAATAAAATCCTAAGCTCCCCCTATGTACTGAACAGATTCCCTCTTGGTCAAGTGTGCCCACCAGAGAAATCTTTAAAACTGTTCCTGGCCATGGCGAGATGGGAGGTTAGACATGTCTCATTTTATTTCCTTTCTTTCATGGTTTAGACACAAAAACTGACCAGCATTCATGTTAAAATAGAGATTATAAGGCTGACTGAATAGACTAGGGTCATAAGATACCAAGTTATATACAGGAGCTAAGGTCTTCCCAGGCAAGGGTTAAGTCAGGGGCCCCTATCCTTAAAAAATTAACTATACACCTTTTTAACTAATTTTTTTTTGAGGTGGAGTCTCGCTCTGTCGCCCAGACTAAAGGGCAGTGGCATGATCTTGGCTCACTGCAACCTCCGCCTCCCAGGTTCAAGCAATTCTCCTGCCTTAGCCTCCCGAGTAGCTGGGATTACAGGTGCACACCACCACACCCGGCTAATTTTTTGTATTTTTAGTAGAGACAGGGTTTCACCGTCTTGGCCAGGCAGGTCTTGAACTGCTGACCTCGTTATCCACCCACTTCAGCCTCCCAAAGTGCTGGGATTACAGGCAAGAGCCACTGCGCCCGGCTGAATGAACTATATTCTAACTGCCACAGGGTTTTTCTCTTCCTCTAGCAGCTGAACAAGCACTGGCCCTAAGATAAGCAATATTGAAACGATTGCGGCTCATCTATCCCAGATTCTGACTAACTGACCCCCTGCTCCACATGCCATGACTCCAGCTTTGATTGGACAAGAGAATGATTCCAGTAACTTTCTCCGGATGAGAGACCTCTGGCCATTGACTGGTTCTGACCACTTGAAAGAGACTTAGCACACGAGCGTCTTCGTGTCTCCGATGCAGCCTTTGATGTAGGGGGTATAGCTATAATGCACTGAAATGTGAAGTCTCGGTGCAGCGTGGTGGTTCACACCTGTAATCTCAGCACTTTGGGAGACCGAGGCAGGCAGATCACCTGAGGTCAGGAGTTCCAGACCAGGCCGGCCAACACAGTGAAACCCTATCTCTACTAAAAATACAAAAAGTAGCCAGGTGTGGCGACACGTACCTGTAGTCTCAGCTACTTGGCTGAGGCAGGAGAATCGCTTGAACCCGGGAGGCAGAGGATACAGTGAGCCGAGATGGTGCCATTGCACTCCAGCCTGGGTGACAGAGCAAGACTCTGTCTCAAAAAAGAAAAAGAAATGTGAAGTCTCCACCCCAAAGTCAACATGGGAGGTAAGCCATGTGTGTGTTTATTCAATATGCATGTGTTAGGCCTCCTTCATGAATACTCAGCCCATTTCATAACCTGTTGGGTGGCTATACTTGCCAGCCCACTCAGCATAAATTCCTGCCTCGTCACTTCCTCCCTGGAAGGACCAGTGGAGGATCTTTTCTGAAAGCTGCACTTTCCAGCCTGAGGCATGGCCAGCCTGCAGGCCGTAAGCTACAGAAATATATCTTTTTTTTTTCCTTTTAAGTAGAGACAGGGTTTTGCCTTGTTGTCCAGGCTAGAACTCCTTGGCTCAAGTAATCCATCCACATCAGCCTCCCAAAGTGCTGGAATTACAGGCATGAGCCACCTTCCTTGGCCTATAGAAATAGATCTTTTTTTTTTTTTTAAGAGGGAGTCTCACTCTTTGCCCAGGCTGGAGTTCAGTGGCACGATCTCGGCTCACTGCAATCTCCCCCTCCCGGGTTCAAGTGATTCTCCTGCCTCAGCCTCCCGAGTAGCTGGGATTACAGGCATGTGCCACCACGCCCAGCTAATTTTTGTATTTTTTAGTAGAGACCGGGTTTCACCATGTTGGCCAAGATGGTCTCGATCTCTTGACCTTGTGATCCACCCACCTCGGCCTCCCAAAGTGCTGGGATTACAGGTATGAGCCACTGCGCCCGGCCTAGAAATATACGTTATAATAAAAAAGAGCCATGTGTGGTGTCTCATGCCTATAATCCCAATACTTTGGAAGGCTAAGATTGAAGCACTGATTGAGCCTGGCAGTTCTAGACCAGTCCAGGTAATACAGAGAGACTCCAGCAACATGAGACCTCCAGTACATGTTGAATAGGAGTGGTCACGTGTAGATGCTCATCACAGCACTATTCACAATAGCAAAGACATGGAATCCACTGGAATGCCCATCAGTGGTGGACTGGATTAAAAAATGTGGTACATATACACCATGGAAATCTACACAGCCATAAACAAGAACAAGATAACGCCCTTTCACCAGGTCCTCTCCCTCCCTTTGCAGCAACATGGATGAAGCTAGAAGCCATTATGCTAAGCAAACTGAAGCAGGAACAGAAAACCAAACACTGCATGTTCTCACTTATAAATGGGAGCCAAACATTAAGTATACATGACATAATAATGGAAACAATAGATGCCCAGGACTACTGGGGAGTGGAGGGTGGAAGCGGGGTGGGTATCAAAAAACTAGCAAAACTGGCTGGGCATGGTGTCTCACACCTGTAATCCCAGCACTGTAGGAGGCCAAGGCTGATGCACCATTTGAGGTCAGGAGTTCAAAACCAGCCTGACCAACATGGTGAAACTCTGTCTCTACTAAAAATACAAAAACTTAGCCGGGCATGGTAGTGCAAATCTGTAGTCTCAGCTACTTGGCAGGCCAAGGCGGGATAATTGCTTGACTCTGGGAGGCAGAGGTTGCAGTGAGCTAAGATCAGGGCACTACACTCCAGCCTGGGTGGCAGAGTAAGATGCTGCCTCAAAAAACAAAAAACAAACAAACAAACAAAATACCAAAATTATCTGATAGTTTGTCTATGATCTATAGAACAAACCTGCATCTGTCTTTCTGAAACTAAAATACAAGTGTGAAAACCTGTGATTTTCAGTGATTGGTTAGAGAGCTGACAAATCACCATCTCTTTAGAGTCACCCACTAGATTTCGGCTTTATCATTTTGGGGAGGTCACGGTTTCCTGTTTGCTCTAGTTTGTTGTAGATGTAGATCTATATTTTTGCACTGAATGAGGAATGATTTGCTCCAGTTTTCTGTCTGGCTTGTTTTGATTTGGACTGAATACATTCCCTTGGTGAATCTTCACCACTAGGTTGCTGCTTCTTCTTGACTCCAGGTGGTGGTTTAAGCTCAGGTTTACCTAAGTTTTAGTAAACCACGGGAGTGCTGCCAGTCCCAAATGGGAGAAGTCCCAAAGGGATTCTCATGGCAGTGTAGGAGCGCTAGCTAGGTCAAGCCCAGGTTTTTCTGTTTTTTGATAAGGAGAGAAGGGAGGTGATAGGAAGATCTCTCATTGAAATGAGTTAGTTTCCAAAAGGATGTCTATTTCCATTAATGAGGGCTGGAAATATTTAGAATGTATTATCCACCTAAATGATTTTAGCAGTATTCTGAAAGAGAAAGTGGATGTCTTTACTGGACACAGTTACTTTAATTCAGTAAACCCCACTAGTCACCATGAGGATAGGTCAGTGCCCTGGTTTTCCTGTTTTTTGATAAGGTGTTACAGGAAGGTCTCTCCTTGAAATGACTTAATTTCCAAAAGGATGCATATTTCAATTGCTGTGGGCTAGAAATATTTAGAATGTATTATCTACCTAAATGATTTTAGCATTTTTCTGAGAGAAATTGGACATCTTTACTAGACACAATTATGTTAATTCAGTAAAACCCACTAGCCACCATGAGGACAGGCAAACGTTGGTGATGCCATGAGGCTCCCGCTAATACACCCTATGGCCATTCCCTTCCAAGGCAGGGGGCCGCATCTTTGTGCGGTGAAGCCCTTTCCTGACATGGCCAATGATCAGGAACAGATTCTCCCGGATCTGCCCATGAGGAGTGAACAGGGTCTCAGTATCTGGGGCGCAGTGAGGGCCCCTGACAAGAAGAGGGTTGACTCAATGGCTCGTCATCACTGCCCACACAGAACGGTCCAGGTCCCAGGCAGGCATCTTTTGTGGCTGAACCCGGTGAACAACTACAGGAGAAAGTAAGGAACAGATGACTGGAAAGGTAAAGAATGGGCATAAATTAATCAAAATAATCGAAGTTTAGGCCGGGCACGGTGGTTCACGCCTGTAATCCTAGCACTTTGGGAGGCTTCCTTGAGGTCACTTGGGGTTAGGAGTTTGAGACCAGTCAGGCCAACATGGTGAGACCCCGTCTCTACCAAAAATACAAATTCCCTTGAACCTGGGAGTTGGAGGTTGCAGTGAGCCAAGATCGCACCACTGTACTCCAGCCTAGGTGACAGAGCAAGACTCCATCTAAAAAAAAAAAAAAAAAAAAATCCAGGTCAGGCTCAGTGGCTCATGCCTGTAGTCCTAGCACTTTGGGAGGCCAAGGTGGGCAGATTACCTGAGGTTGGGAGTTCGAGATCAATTTGACCAACATGGAGAAACCCCGTTTCTATTAAAAATACAAAATTAGCCAGGCATGGTGGTGCCTGCCTGAGATCCCAGCTACTCGGAAGACTGAGGCAGGAGAATCGCTTGAACCCGGGAGGTGGAGGTGCGGTGAGCCAAGATCACACCATTTCTCTCCAACTTAGGCAACAAGAGCGAATCTCTAAAACAAACAAACAAAAAAAAAAACAAAAAGAAAGAAAAGAAAAAAACAACAACAAAACGAAGTTTATTTGGATTCCTTTATTTCCTGCAGATGAACCTAAATCACAGATGAACTAGTATCTCTTTTTTGAATTCACCAGTAACTAAAGATTTCTGATGTATAAATCACTAAAACAGGCTAATCAATCATGAAGGACAGCAGAGTTGCCATTTAGGTTCTCTTTACTTCCGAAATTTCTTTGTATCCATCCTTGCTGAGATAACTCCCTCACTCTAGAACTTCAGGTTCTATTTCTGACTGTCTAGGACACAGGTCCCTGAGTCTCATTGACTCCATTCAACCTTTTCCCCAGTGCTGCCCCCTACTGGTTTTTGTTTTTGTTTGTTTGTTTGTTTGTTTTTTCCACTCACAGGAAGCACGTGCCTGAAGCAAAGGATTCTCTGCTCCCTTTATAACGCACCTATAGAACTGGCACAGCAGCTCCTGCCTGTAATCCCAGAATCTTGGGAGGCCAAGCAGGAGGCTCGCTTGAGCCTAAGAGTTTGAGAACAGCCTGGACAACATGGGGAAACCCTGTCTCAAATTTTTAAATAAAAATTGTAAAATAAGGAAAAGGAAAAAGAAAAGGCATCTATGTCCCAGATTTTAGTTTCCAAGTGCCTGGAGAAAAAGCTTTTTATACCTCCACCCCACTAGGCAGGGCTTCTCCAGAAGCAAAAACTGAGCTCCAGTTGTTCAGTGGGCGACGTGCCACAGCAAGGGCAGGAGACGGGACCGAAGAAGATCCTGTTGGGCTGCCTTACTTCCCTCAGTATACGCATCAGCTCAGCCTGAAGTGGGGTGAGGAGCCCCCAAACGACACGACCCCTGTTGTCAAGACTCTCCCGAGGGGCAGGATATGTTTCCAGGCTCAGCTTGCTCAGCCTGCCTGTGTGACGCAGCAGGTCCTTCAGAGTATCCATGGAGGTGTCATTGCCGTGAAAGCAGAAAGTGGTGAGGTTGGAGCAGCGACTCAGGGCAGGCAGGATGACCCTGAGTTTGGAGTTCCCAATCCCACAGTCCACTAAGAAGAGGGTCTGAAGAGTGGCAGCAACTTTCTCTAGCAGAGCTCGGAGGGGCTCAAGACGGAGGAAGCGCAGCACACCGTGACTCAGATTCAGCTGCTTCAGTTGACTGAGACTTGGGTACCGGGGCAGACACTTCAAGTCCTCTTCCTCTAGGGAGCCATAAGTTAATGCCAACGTCTCCAACGGGCTCTTGAGGCACCTGGGGAGAGCTAGAAGTTAGTTCTGGGCAATGGTACCAGTTAGAGGAGGGTGGTGGAAAATAACCTCAAGGGAAGAGCCTGGTTCACCCAAACACAAGTTTGTTCTCATCATCTAATCACGGTCCTCCTGCAAGGTGCTGCCTGGTGAGGACTCTGATCATTCAGGGGCAGTCCCATTTTAGGCTCAGTCCTTTCACCATCACTCGTGTGATTGGTTCAAGGCCACAAAATCTCTAACGCCTCTTTTCTTCATCTTCCAGCAGAAATCTTCATCTCTGGGCCACAGGGGGCCTGTGGAAGATATGCCCAAAGAACTGACCTGAGCAAGGTCTAGGGACATCAGTTAGGGCTGCCTGCCTTCAGAGGTTTCCTGACATGGCCACATCTGCAAACCACCTATCTCTTTGTACCACTCTCATGCCTGCTCCCTCACCTCCATCCCAGAAGCATGCGTTTCCCATGTCAATTACCTTTCCTAGAGTTCAAAACAACCTTTTACAGACAGAGAATTAGAGACAGGATCATTCACGTTCACTAAGCTGTGAGGACAGAGCGCCTTCTGTGAAACGCACAGGTTTGATGCACTTTCTCTTCTTTTATACCCTCCTTTCTGTTGCCTCTTTTTTTTTTTTATCATATTAACTTTAAACATACTTCCTAACAAGGAATTCACAAAAGCACCCTCACTACATCTGAACCCCCACTAACCAGCTCCCTACACGATGTCCCTCTCTGTAGCATCGACCCCCTGTCATCCCTCCGCCCTTACTGGAGCCATCCCGTGATATCCACTTCAGGATATAGAGCACCAAACAGGACAATACATTCTAGTGTCCCCTTCCCTGTGACATCGCCAGTGGCTGGCACACAGTAGATGCCCACTAGTGTTTACTATAACAAAAAAAGGCTGTGCCATGGCACACAGAGAAAGCTCACCATCCTTCCTCACCTGATCAACCGGTCCAGGTAGCCTTTGAAGAAGCAGATCCTTCTTATATAAAGCGTCTGGAGGTAGTCCAGCCTACGGAACACAGAGCTGAATGCAGCAACTAACTGTTCTTTGCTGTCAGGGCTTGGCAGGTAATAATGACAGCCATCGGAGACAAAGAGTTTGCGAAGATTCCTCATCTGGCTCAGGTAACGGCTAAACTCTACTATGATACATGACCAGCACATGTTCCAAATTTCCAACACTTGGATACTGTCTGGGTATACTGTTTCCAATATGTTTCTGAAATTTAGAATGCACGTTGAATAATTCACCACCTTAGTACAGCACAGGTATACTGAACCTCTTCTGTGCTGGACCCACCCAGAGAGGAAGCTCAGACCTTCATCCAGGGATTTCTCCTTGAAGCAAACATCCATGAACACCTTCAAGGGCTGCTTCTCTCCTGTCCTTGGACAGTCCTCCACTGTCTGCGTCTTACTCATGGCCTTTGAGGAGCAGGACAGGGGCCTGGCTCCAGACCATATGGTCCAGAAATTCTCATCAACATCCCGCAAATCCAGCACCTGCAGTTTCCACCTCCTGTGAGTCACATGGGGGAAAAGCTCAGAATGTAGGCAAGGACCCACCCCCGACCTGGGCTTTCACTCCGCATCGAGGACCTCAGCTGCTTTTGTCCTCAGTGCCCCTCCTTCTGTCTCTTCTCCATCCCTTTCCCCCTTGGATTCTACCTGGTCCCCACTTCTAGTGCTTTTACCTTCCACTGGGAGGAAGCAGGTTCCTGTTTCCTCGGTGGACCCTGCATGGTGAGCAGTCTTTTCCCAGAGGAGCTGGGCAATGGCCAAGAACTGTCCCAGCTTTCTCACTGGCACCATCAGAAGCCCCCGGGCCACCCTCGGGCTCCCAATTTTTCTGACCCAGCTGTTTATTCCCTGGACACCTGGGCCCTCCCCACCTGGGTCACTCACCTGGGGCGAACCTTTTGGGCAAGCAGGCAATCAATCCCATCCACTACATAATGTAAGATCTCCAGATCAGGCGTCTTCATCAGGGACCCCAGAGGGAGGCGGGGGAAGGGCCAGGCCCGCACCATCACCTTCAGAACCTCGCAGCGTCTCCTAATGAAGGCCTCTACAAACAGCAGGGGGAAGAGCTCCCTGGGCAGCTCCTCCAGGACGGAGATGGCCAAGGCCTCTTCCCTCAGCAGGCTCTGCCCTGCCAGCTCCAGTAGTCTGGGTGGGGTCTGGAGGTTCATCCTGCTGCAAATCTGCAAGAAAGCAAATCCAGAGAAAAGACAAACTTCTCAGGCCAGTCCTCTCACACCCTGACTTCTCCTAGGGCAGACGTCACTACTCTGGCAGGTGTGAAAGGGTTCTTAGTTTACCCCAATTCCATTCTGCAATAATTGCCCACAGAGACATAGTTCTGCCCTTCTGGTACCAGGAAGAGTGTCTTCCAACCTCCAAGGAGCAGGCAAGACCACTCCTACTCCACGAATTTTCATTCATTGCTCCCCCCAACTTTACTAGCTCTGGGAAGTGTTACTCAGGATCTCCAAAGCTCAGCTCCTTTTTTGAGAAAAAAAATGTCTTCTCAATGTAAAGGTCTAAAACAATGGTCATGTGGCTGGGCTTAGTGGTTCACAACGGTAGTCCCAGCACTTTGGAGGCCCAGGTGGGCGGCTCACTTGAGGTCAGGAGTTAAGAGCTAGGAGTTAGGAGTTGTTGGCCAGCCTGGTCAACAAGGTGAAACCCAGTCTCTGCTAAAAATACAAAAAGTAGCCAGGCATGGTGGTGTGCGCCTGTAATCCCAGCTACTTGGGAGGCTGAGGCACAAGAATCGCTTGAACCCAGGAGGCGAATGTTGCAGTGAGCCTAGATAGCGCCACTGCACTCCAGCCTGGGCAATAGAGTGAGACTCAGTCTCAAAAAGAAAAACAAAACAAAACAATAAAACAGTAAAACAATGGTAATGGGAGTCTCCTGTGACCCCAAACAGCCTGCAGTCTCAGTTCCCACGATGAACTTGGCTGGGAGAGACTAAAGGGATTTTTTAAAATTAGATGCCATTATGTTCTCTCTAAGAAGAGTAATGAGGGGCAATGCATGGAGGCTCAGAACTGTAATTCCAACACTTTGGGAAGCCAAGGCAGAACAATCACTTAAGCCCAGGAGTGGCTGACCAGCCTGGGCTACATAGTGAGACCCTGTCTCTCCAAAAAAATACAAAAAGTAGCTGGATGCACACCTGTAGTCCCAGTTACTCTGCAGGCTGAGGTGGAAGGATGGCTTGTGTCTGGAAAGCAGAAGTTACAGTGATCTGAGACTGTGCCACTGCACCCCCAGCCTGGGCAGAAGAGCAAGAGTCTGTCTTAAATAAATAAAATATTACCAGCTTTGGAATGGAGTCTAGAGAAACAAATGGATCCCACATTCAGAACAAAGACTCCATTCTTGAAAATGGTGCATGAGATCAGTCATGCTGGCTCATGCCAGTAATCCCAAGACTTTAGAAGGCGAAGTAGGAAGTTTGCTTGAATCTAGGTGTCCCAGACCAGCCTAGGTAACAAACTAAGACCCCATCACTATTTTAAAAAATAAAGTAAAATAGGCCCAGCACAGTGGCTCACACCTGTAATATCAGCACTTTGGGAGGCTGAGGCAGGCAAATCACCTGAGTTTGGGAGTTCAAGACCAGCCTGGCCAACATAGTGAAACCCTGTCCCTATTAAAAATACAAAAATTAGCCAGGCATGGTGGCACACGCCTGTAGTCCCAGCTACTCAGGAGGCTGAAGCAGAAGAATCACTTGAACCCGGGAAGCAGAAGTTGCAGTGAGCCAAGATTGTGCCTCTGCACTCGAACCTGGGCAACAGAGTGAGACCCTGTCTCAAAAAAAAAAAAAAAAACATGACAACAAAAAATTAGCCAGTTATGCTGGTGCATGCCTAAAGTTTCAGCTACTCAGAAGGCTGAGAGAGGAGGATTGCTTGAGCCCAGAAGACAGAGGTGGCAGTGAGTCGAGACTGCAATATTTCAACACTGCACTCCATCGTAGGTGACACAGCAAGACACTGTCTCAAAGAAGAAAAAAAAAAGACTTCAGTCAATTTCATTCTTTTTTAACTGCTTGATTAGGAACTTTGAGGTTGGGCGCAGTGGCTCATGCCTATAATCTCAGCACTTTGGGAGGCCGAGGTGGGCAGATCACGAGGTCAGGTGTTCGAGACCAGCTTGGCCAACGTGGTGAAACCCTGTCTCTACTAAAAATACAAAAATTAGCCGGGCATGGTGGTGGGCTCCTGTAACCCCAGCTACTCAGAAGCTAAGGCTAAGAGAATCGGTTAAACCCGGGAGGTGGAAGTTGCAGTGTGCCAAGACCGCACCATTGTACTCCAGCCTGAGCAACAGAGCAAGACTCTATCTCAGAAAAAAAAAAAAAAAAAACTTTGAAATAACATCAACTAAAACACAAATAAAATATTTGGAGTGAAGAGATAAAACTGCATTAGAGAAAAAATTAAAGCCTACATCTGTTTATCTGAAAATCGGGCAGGAAAATTCTCTGCGCCGCCTTGACCTGCATGTCGCCATCTCTGCTGGCTGACTGTGGGCCATAGAGTGCCCTTGTGGAGGTCCCTGACTTACCAGATCTCGACTCACTTTGCAGTCTGCTGGGACCTCTTGGAGAACCAAGCAATAACTCCAGGCACCACAGCTCAGGGTCTCTTCTGCAGATGTTCACAAGGTTTCTTGGACCTTTTTTTTTTTTTCTTTTGTTCTTTTTTTTTTTCCCGAGATGGAGTGTCGCTCTTGTTGCCCAGCCTGGAGTGCAATGGCGCGATCTCGGCTCACCACAACCTCCACCTCCCAGGTTCAAGTGATTCTCCTGCCTCAGCCTCCAAAGTAGCTGGAATTACAGGCAAGCGCCACCACGCCCAGCTAATTTTGTGTTTTTAGTAGAGACGGGGTTTCACCATATTGGCCAGGCTGGTCTTGGGAACTTCTGATCTCATGATCCGCCCGCCTTGGCCTCCTCAAGCGCTGGGATTACAGGCGTGAGCCACCACACCTGCAGCACCTTTCTTAGATCTTCCTAATCCCACCTCCCTTATCAACTTCCAGCTTCTTATTAGAGAGTGATGCCTGATTGGATTTCTGAGCTCCACCCAGTTAAGTCTGACTGAAGTTTTGGCTTTCAGCAGAATACTGAATGGAATCAGATATCCAATCATGAAACTGAAAGCACTGTAATTAGGGTGGAAGTCAAGAACTCATTTTGATGATTTTGATGTGACCAAAAAACTCCCAACCATAAGACTTTCAGGTTTTGTTTTTCTGTCTAATCTCAGGAATAGGTTGAACCCTTCCCTGTCTTCCACTCAGGACTACCGAGGTCACATATTACTACCACTCATCTCTGTTTGTGGAGTGCATTAATGAATGAATTCTTGACTTCCACCCTAACCTTAACAGGCACCGATGGAAATTACCAGTATGTGACCTTCTTTGTCCTCAGTGTGAGACAGGGAAGCTTTCACTCTGTTCCTGACATTAGACAGAAAAACAAAATCTATAAAGATTAATGTTGGGGAAATGTTTGGCCCCATCAAAAGTATCAAAATGGGCCGGGCGCGGTAGCTCTCGCCTATAATCCCAGCACTTTGGCAGGCCCAGGCGGGTGGATCACGAAGTCAGGAGATCAAGACCATCCTGGCCAACATGGTGAAACCCTGTCTCTACTAAAAATACAAAATTAGGCTGGGCGCGGTGGCTCAAGCCTGTAATCCCAACATTTTGGGAGGCGGAGGTGGGCAGATCACGAGGTCAGGAGATCAAGACCATCCTGGCTAACACGGTGAAACCCTGTCTCTACTAAAAAATACAAAAAAACTAGCCAGGCGAGGTGGCGGGCGCCTGTAGTCCCAGCTACTCGGGAGGCTGAGGCAGGAGAATGGCGTAAACCCGGGAGGTGGAGCTTGCAGTGAGCTGAGATCCGGCCACTGCACTCCAGCCTGGGAGACAGAGCGAGACTCCATCTCAAAAAAAAAAAAAAAATACAAAATTAGCCAGGCATGGTGGTGGGCACCTGTAATCCCAGCTACTCAGGAGGCTAAGACAGGAGAATCGCTTGAACCCGGGAGACGGAGGTTACAGTGAGCCAAGATCGTGCCACTGCACTGCAGCCTAGGTGACAGAGAGAGACTCCATCTCAAAAAGCAAAACAAAACAAAATTATAAAATGTTTCAGCCAGGCACGGTGGCTCATGCCTGTAATCCTAGCACTCTGGGAGGCCAAGGCAGGTGAATCACAAGGTCAGGAGATTGAGACCATCCTGGCTAACACAGTGAAACCCCATCTATACATATATATGTGTGTGTATATATATATATGTGTGTGTGTGTATTTGTGTGTGTGTATATATACATGTGTGTATATATATATTAGCCAGGTGTGTTGGTGCATGCCTGTAATCCCAGCTGCTTGGGAGGCTGAGGCAGGAGAATTGCTTGAACCAGGGAGGTGGATGTTGCAGTGAGCCAAGACTGCGCCGTTGCACTCCAGCCTGGGTTACAGAGTGAGACTCCACCTCAAAAAAAAACAAAAACGAAAACCTACAGATCACAGTTGGCAGGCTTCCAAGCCAACTATCCGGGGAAGGACTTAGGATGCAAGCCTTACATCCTGTCCCTGCGTAAATATGCTCATCATGAGCTTCTCAGACTCTTCAACTACTCACGAAGGCTTCATCTTCTGACATTGAGAAGGACACTGATTTGATTTTGATCATGAAGTTTGGCTGATTGTCTTGTGCATCATCAAGCATTTTGGCCTGTTCGTTGTCAACCTTGGCCAATGATTGTAACTGCTGTATTGTACCCATCATTGAAGAAGGACAGCTCAGCCATGAGGAGTCCCACTGCCTTCTACACTCTCATGAAAGCATTCCAACTTGTAACAGACTTTGGAACACACTCACTTTGTTGCTGTGGGTTCTTGGGTCAATTCTCACATTCGGCTTCCAATAAACTTTTATCAAATTATTTCTCCTCAACAGTCTTAATTTCCACTGACACCAGATTGCGTGATGGTGGTTTACATTGGGATAGAGGAGCAAGTATGGTGGTTAACACCAGTAATCCCAGCATTTTGGAAAGCCCAAGTGGGCAGATTGTTGAGTCCAGGAGTTCAAGACCAGCCTGGGCAATGTGGCAAACAAAACCTCATCTCTACAAAAAATACAAAAATTAGCTGTGCATGGTGGCATGCACCAGTACTCTCAGTGACTTGGGGGACTGAG